ATGTTTTTCTTTTCATATTTCCCTTTACAGCATTCAATAAGCCCTAGCCACACACGCCTTGAAATACTGCAAAAATGAATGAAACAACTCAGACAGAAATCTCTGGCATTTCTCTGTTGGTGACAGGTCTTCCTGATCAGGAAAAAGTTTAGATCTACAGTACATCCAAATGAAGAAAAACCTTTTGTCATGTATTTTTCATTTTCTATATTTCACGCCTGCAGAAACATTCCAAAACACAAACCCTGGACAGTAAACGTTCCACCACGGCTGGTCTTTTCATCTCATAAAGCCAGAGCAGAGACGCACGTTAGCACTGTATCCAGAGAGTGGTTTTGTGTGTTCTCGTTGAAAAATGCATACGCTTCCCAGGAAGAGATGCCCCCCCGAGGCTGGCCCATGTCACATTAAAATTTGTATTCCCTTTAATGCAGGATTAATGCCTCCGTCACAGAGGTTTAAAGAGGTCAAAAACGCCATCGCAGAGCTGTGCTGTGAATCTCGATGCTCCTTTAGCCTCCCGAGACCCTGCGTCCTCATACAAGGACACTGCATTCCACCTCTCTGCACCGTCATACTTAATTTTCCCCTCCACATCGACCCATTGGCCTCATAAACACTAATGAGCAGTAACTTTTTAAATCCTAAACAAAATGGGTTTATAGGTTTTCAAACTATCACTTCTTTGTTGTGACGTTTAAGGTGAAAGTGGCACTTTTTGAAAGGAACTTTGTACTGTGGCACTTTGCTAAGGCTTCTTCCAGTATCCTATTGCCCAAGTAGTTATTGATTTAACATTATCTATGTGAGGGATGGAAGACTGTGGGTGTCCACCCAAACACTGTACACTCTCTTGAGCTGTTTATGGATATAATGGAGAAATATTCTAATGTCTAAGACACATTCTTTTTAAACACTTTATGTGGCTGCACACATTAATTAACATTAATTTTAGGGATTTTTAGCCCATCTTGGCTTAAAAAGAAAACCTGTTGATCATTTTTCCACAATTTAAAAATAAATCCCCTATATGCCAAGCCAATAGAGTAAAATCCATAAGCAGGGTTAAACTACCGTACTTAGATATGTCACATGCTGCATTTATTGAGGAATCAGCCAGAAGCAGCCAAATTTTTCCCTCTGGTGATGGTTACACCTGATGTAACATTATGGAAGGCCTTGTGTTGATTTGACAACAAAGGGTCATTTAAGGTTATCAGTGGTTTTTTAATCTTATTTCTTTGATCATGCTTGCAGAGGATAGCCTAATACTTTTAAAAGAAAAACTGTCTTCTATCATCCCTCAATAAATCCTCCAGGGTTGAAACTAAATTTTCAAGGCTCTCATTGAAGGGTTAAACTTTGGCCTATCCTTTTTATTTTTTGTGGTCCCAAAGCTGCTTAAAACAACACCATTTTCGGCCCGGAAAAATTTCCCACCACCAGCTCTCTTTGGAAAGTTTGTTGAAGTTTAGCAATGGTTTATATTAAATCAAATTAAATGCAAAAGAAAAATATACAGCACTGTTTTCATTAAAAAAACAAAAAAACAAGGTCAAATTCAATTCAGGAATATCCTGGAGTTGGAAAAACCTATTTCAAGCTAAAGCCAAAAGACTAGAGCAAGAGCTATCAGAATCCACAGATGAAGCTCAACTGTTTTGCCTTCGCATTGTATTCATAATTAGCATGTCTGCATTAGTGTGCGTGTGGTTTGTGCGTTTAAGGCTCGCATGACAGATCTAGAGCAACAGGTGGTCAGGATGAGATCATCATGACACTTCTGATGGAGCCGAAAACGGCGATAACAGCGGCGTGCTCCCACACGCACCAAAAACTCCACCACGAAAGCGTTAAGACATGGGAAGTGGTCTCCATGGCGACGAGCGCATTCGTACCCCGACTGGTTGATGCGAGGCGGGCTGGTTTTTTTCCTCACACTCGCACTTCGAGGCCCAAAAAAAAAGTGTTTGCGATGGTGCCCGAGAGCAGCCGGCGGGCTGCTTTCTGCCACAGTACACACTGTGGTGTTTACAGTCAACCACACAGGACCCACTGGCCGCCCATACATGTGAGGCCTGTGGGTATTTGTTACGTGAGCCCCCTGCCAGTGCGCATGTGTCATGTGAGGAGCAAAACAGACTCCGAGGTTAAGGTCAAACTGACATTTTGTGTTTCGCCCTCCTTCAGTCTTCACGTCCACTAAACCGCTCTGTCTCCTGTATGTGTGGTATGGGACGCCGTCAAATGTCTTGGACCCAACTCAGGGGCCAGCTGGACCTCCGCTGGTCTTACAAAGGCCTTCGGGTGGGCTGACCAGGTGCAGGAGGGGAGGAAGGCTTAGAGGTCAGGAGTGTGCCGGTCAGCAGAGCGTGCTCATAGCCGCTGTGTTGGAGGGGTGGGGTGTTAGCCCGTGCTGTTGCATGGAGTAAAAGCCCAGCACGTGTCGGCTGCTGCAAGGCCGGAGCCAGATCCAGTTTCTCTCTGCGGGATGTCACCACAAATACTGATACGGTCACATTCAACCCCCTGCCAACTTTTTGGTCACACCAATAAAAACAGGGAAAGAACTGTTGTCAGACTGACTGACCCCTGTTCCTAATGTCAGGCTCCCCTTATCCGACATGCCATATCTCTTTTACACAGCCTCCACATTTATAGTTTGTGTTGATGTGTTTATTTACTAACATACATTCCTCATTACGAGCCCCATCCCCTTGATTTATGAAAAGCTCACTCTGTTCGCGGCTGAAGGAAGCATTCTTATGGGGTCTTGTTGCCCATCATTTGGCATCCGAGTTCGTTCCTTTTTGATTTATAAGGAAGACCTAAACTGTCATCGGCAGCAGAAAGGAAAAGCATTGGAAGGAACCGCCGTGACGCATGTCTAATTTGAACTGGAAGCTCCTCAAACGGCTTTGTCACTGGATACTGTCAGGCCAGCTCAGCTTCAGCATGGATTGAGGGGCTTGTGTCTAAGAAATAAGTCCCAGCTCAGCATCAAAACAGTATTTGTTACAGTTCACAGCTGACCTTGTCGACAAAGAAAATCCCTCCGGTGGAAAGAGTGATTGTCAGAGCAGAGTGACCAGAGTAAATGTATCGCAAAATGCAGGGTAACTCACGAGAACTGACAAACTTAGTTGAACTGTGGCCCACAGAGTGGTCAGCTGTTCCATGGGAAATATTCAGCGCAGCTAAAACTCTTTGCCAAGATACAACTCAGTTGGGGAACACTCCAAAAAACATTATTTGTTAAATGTATCGACACTCGGAATAAAATAAAATAAAATAAAAACTCCCCAATCTGTGTTAAGAAACCTCATACATGAGGATATGTCGTCAGCTTCAGACTCTGGTTTTCATTCACACCTACCTTGGTGCTGTCCTGGCACTGGAAGACATAGCAGGCACACTTTGGGGCGTCTCTCACCAGGCAGGCGAAGCTGCTGGGCTCCTGGCTGTTGTGAATCAGCTTGGTCACTTGGTGGGGGCGACATTCGAAGAGCACCGTGTGCGTCAGGGGGTCCCAGAGGCGTCGCTCTCCCAGAGCGGACACACACCGCACGGAGGACGCCGAAACGCACAGCAGGACTGTCTTATTGCACGTAGCAGGGTCCAACTGACCTCCCCCGCCCCGACCACCTCGCGGCCCGGCGGCTCGTTCCTTCCCGGCCGACCTGCAGATTTCAGCCACCACCCAGGGCAGCATGGCCATGGTGGTCAGCTGGTGGACGGGCCGACAACCAGTCAAAGTCAGTTGGTACCTTATCTCCTCCCCTGCCTCCACATCCACCTCCCCTGGCCATTTGTGAAGGCTCTGAGAGGAAGAGGTCAGTCGCAAAAGTGACGGACAGGAACGGTTGTTGGAGGTCAGAAGGGGAGTGGGCTGATCAGAGCCCCGTGGCCTCTGCACTTCACCCCCTTTAGGCTTCACTTCAAAGTACAGCCCGTCCATGGCAGCTGTGCGCCTCCACCTCACCTGCAAACACAACAGCGGGGCGTCAGAGACCTTTACAAACAGCACTCAAAAAGGACAGCAGCCATATATGTGTGGGCCCGTCCTGTTTACCTTCCCAGATTTAAAGTCTCATAAAGATGTCGTTGGATCTTTTTTGTTTGTTTGTTTTATTCGTACTGAAGCAGGGCAGTTTTCCCAGGACACTAAAAAAGCTGAGTGGCTTTTACTGCCTCACGATAAACAGTGAACATCTCCCAGCTGATAACTGTCAGACATGGAGAGGTTTGAGGGGATTCTCACAACCGCAGAGAAGAGGGGTGACGGTTTGAAACTGCGCCTTCACGACGAAAGCCAACGGATAGCGACTCACACACATGATAGCAAAGCATTCGGAAGGTGCTCTGTTACATTTAAAAGGAAAAAACGCCTCCTCCACCTGCCTCCCGCTCGACCTTGCCACTTCATTTAAATTCCCAACTTCCAACATCGGTGACGAAAGGTGGTCCGTCCGCGGCGAGGCGACATCATGCGGAAGTTGGAACTAGATAAAAGATGTGCGCCGTCTCCTGTACATGCCACCGTTCACTCGCTTTGAATTCTTATTTGAAACACGAGTACGTTTCGCCCACGAGGCGGCAGTTTGTTGAAACTGCGTGCATGTAGTCAATAATAAAAAAAAAGAAGACAAAACTAGTCCCACAACCGAACGTCTCTCCCCTTCCCCTCCGCTCAGCACAGCCTTACCTGTCCGCTAACTGCCGTCTGTTCTCCTCACGGCGGTAAATAAAAGTAACTTAGAATGGCTGGACGGAAAGGAGCTCGGCCAGATAAACACGTCGCGTACACAGAGGGGAGAGGGAGACCTTTACACCGCTGTCGCCGTTTGCAGTCCGAGTTAAATTTAGAGGACATGTCCAACCCAGACCCCCCTTCCTCCCTCCTCCTCCTCCTGTCAGTGACAAGTGCTCGCTGCTCGCGCGCGCTGAGAAGGATGCGGTGAGCACTCAGACTCACGAAGAAGAAAAAAAACAAGGAAGCATTAACAGAGTTTGAAACTAGTTTTATTTTAGGGATTAAAATTGCATATTGGCACAGTATTTCGGTGGAATCCACGCATAATGCTCAAAATAGGAATCGGCTCCCTGCACATTTCTGAGAATTCACACACACACTCTACAAAGTCACTCTTATTTATCGGAAATGTTCAGTTCAGTCCCTTTGAGATGTTGCAGGCAGCAATGCAGAGGAATGTGTGGTGGTGGGCGTGTTGAGGTCATCCACTATGGCTCCACTTGGTGGTGCTGTAACTGTGAGCAGTGAATTTGTACTCTTGAAACCTAGAGTAACCTTTTCCCTGCACGTTTCCCATCATTTATTTAAGCTGAAAAGACTTCTGTCTCTAAAATCTGTGCCATGTTCCTTGTTAGCGACCACAGAAAGATATTACACGTTCAAATTTCAAAGGCAGTGTACACCTTCAAATAGTTTTTCAGCATTCATATTCTAAGGTATTTGTTTATATTAGCAGCAGTGCAGGTGACATTAAGCTCTGTGTGTTTAGGAATGCTTATTGTTATACACAAGCCAGCAGGAGACTGGATCTTATCCACCGCCATGTGGAAAAAACAAAAAAAGGGAATATAAAACCAAAGCATCCATGGTTAAAACTCAACTTTATAGTAGAGGTTATATGCAGATCATTAAAAATAATCTAAAGTGACAATTAAATTACAATACAGAATGGAATTTTTTTCTGGTTCAAACTCAACAGAGGATCTCTCCCGGAATAATTAAGACATGATGGAAAATGCTGGTCAGAGATAGACGAAACCACTTGTGTGGTCATTCCGTCTGATATCGCTACTCGGGCTTGGGCTGCAGCCTATTCTTTGCCGGCTCGAAGAAGTTTTCCACAATGGCTTCGACCAAGTCGTCCAGCTCCTTCTTCAGGAGCGCCACGTCACTGATGCAGACCCAGACGAACGAGACGGAAACAAAACACATGTTGATGTCAATGATTAAAGCTCATTGTTCAAACAAAGTTATTCAGATGGTAAAGAAAAGATTGGAATAATAATGCAAAGAATATTCTATTTTTATTATGATTTATTAGGTAGATCATGGATTACACAATATTTAAAAAATTGCATTTAACATTTTTTTCCAATGTACCATGATATAAAACTGCTTTTCTGCTGCTCCTGCCTCTGTTCTGACTCACCTGTTCCCAGGAGCCGCACAGAGCTCTGTGTAGTATTTGATCTTCGGCTCAGTGCCGCTCGTTCTCATGGTGGCTACGCCCCCGTTGGAGAAGGTAAAAGTGATCATCTGACTGGAGCTGGAGGTGGGAAGAACCTGAGAGACGGGAGGAGGAAGACCAAGAAGACGATGAAGAAACTGGAGGGACTTCTAAGGCCCGGATAAACAGTTTGACAAAAGTATTTCATGTGATGAAACAAGACAGCAGCTTTTATTGCTGCTTTTCTCTAACACAAACTGGCTGAGTAGTTTAGCATGGAACATATGCCATTTTTTTTAATCTGTTTAAGAGTAAGAGCCGTGTAGCCGATCTGATTCTGGTTTTTACCTCTGCAACTCTAAAACTAAAAACAGGATATCAGAGAGGCAGAATTGTTTGTGTGTGCGTGTCCCCTCACAGCTTTGTTGTCAGGTTGGTTGCTGTCGTAGCCGGTAGTCAGGTCTCGCACTGCGTTGATGGAGAATCGTCCGCATTCGGTCGGATATGAGTCCTCTTTGCCACTGAAGTTGCGTAGGCGCTCAAACAGACTGCGGATGACCGCCTGGTCGTGGCAAATGAAGTAGGAGTTCTTGCTGATGTGGTACCCATACCTGACGGTGAGAGACGCAGAGTGGGGGAGTCAGAATGCTACGGCAACCTACTTAGACAGGTTCAATGTGGCCATCTTTGCATCTTACTCTTCGTAAATGTGAGTGAGCTGTTGGGAGAAGCTTTGGTTTTTGGTGGCCAGATAGGAGGCCATCTCCCCTGCTATGGCCGCAGCACTCACTCCATCCTTGTCCAAAACCGAGTTACAACACATGTATCCTGCAACACACACACAGTTTGGGTTAATTCACGACGGGCCTTCATTCCCCAGCTGCTGCGGTCAGCTGTTGCTTCTTTTAATAACGCCGTGTGAGCAAAGGCATGCGATTCCAATTACAGCTTCATTATCTTGTTATCTGTGAATGCTCTGAAACTATGCTGTGTGTATTTATCGCACCATGTGTTGTCTTAACCCAACGATTGACTTTTACCTTTAGCCCACTGCCTTGTGTTTGACTGTACTCACGGCACAAAACTTTAAAGAAGACGGTAGTTGAATCAGTCCGGATGCATATTCCTAATATGATAGCGACTGTTCAACAAGGTCTGACCAGAGCAGAGGCCGTGAGGTTTAGGTGCCCCTACTCAGAGTATTCTGGTATCCCATGAGATAAATGAGTGTTTGTGTCGGTGCAAAATAAACATGTGCTCTGAGGATCCCTGTGGCTTAATAGCTACCCTGTGATCTCACTTCTTCTCAGGTTAATTAGTACGTGCATACCTATGGCCTCCTCAAAGGCAAACAGAACAGTCTTGCCCTGGTCCAACAGGTCTTTGGCTCTGTTCCCCATCCACTTAAACCCTGTCAGCGTCTCCTGTCCAAACATAATGAGAGAAAACTCAGCCAAAAACAAACAAACAAAGATTTGACATTTAGAGGTAGAGTCTACAAATGATAGAAACTATAAACATTCACTGAGTATTTCACAACAAGGAAACCCGCTATACTGCACAATGAAAGTTATTTTCCATCTTGTATGTGAAGTCGATGTCAAAGAAACATTTATTATTTCACAATTTTCAACCAAATTTTCCATTCAGCAAGACAATTCCATTTTTGTCCCCCTTTTTCTCTTCACCTGTGGATTTGACTCAAACAAAAGTAAATCTAGTCAGGCAGCAGTGGTCTTAAGCTGAGGTTGGGACACAGTGTTAAGGCCATGTAAAATGGCATCAATTCTTATAATTCATTTGACCTATTTGTGTCATATCTGTATTATTTATCTCATCCATGGTTAAAACAGTTCCCTTGTCTCTTTTGGTTGTGCTGATGTCACAAAGTGTGTCAATTGTAGTAAAGTTTTGCCACCAGGAGCCCTTGTGAAAAAACTTGAATGTTTGAGCAACAGCACACAGCATGTGGGACAGGTCCTTGAACTCTCTGTAAATGCTCCCTCGCGTATTACTGCTGGCAACGTGCGATATGAAATGAGGGGAGTGAAATGCGAGGGCGTTACCTCAAAGTGGAAACCTTCCTTCAGAGCGATGGCTCGCAGGATTTTGGAAGAGACGGTGCTCGACAGCATGTAGAGGTTCTTCACGGCGGCTGCGTCGGGGTTCCGCTCTTTCCAGCAGTGGAAAATCCACCAGCCCAGCAGCGCGCCCAACTCATTACCGCTGAACACCCGCCACTGTCCTCTGAGGCACAGACAAGGAGAGACAGAGGCTTCTGAATCCAAGTATTCTAGCTGTCATGGTGGAATTTCGCGACTTTACTCTGGATCTTAGTTTCATATCAAGGAAAACTCGTGAAGCTAATTGTTTAGCATTTAATGGGTTTTTCTGGCATTTATAAGGATATCCGGTTAATTCTATTCGTAGTAAAAGGCAGGCTAATTCACTTTGGAGGAGATCGTCTAGTAAAACAATTTAAAACAAGTTAACCATTCATTGCATGTATTATTAAATGTTTTTATTTAAATATAACAGCCAGATTCGGTTAATCTCCTAATGTAGGGACTCATGGTCATTTCAGAGTTTCTTTGCAGCGTGAAGGGAAACTCGTGCCTTTTCGCTTGCAGAGCGGGTTGGATGGAATGAGAGACATGGGACAGAGCAGACGGCCACATGCTGCTTTTAACTTCAACACTAACGTGCTGTTGAAAGGTGGCATTAGCAGCACACGAGAGCTATGTTAAGGCCCACCTCTCCTGCCTCTCAGCCACAGCCAGGCGGTCGGCGTCGGGGTCGTTGGCCAGCACCACCGAGGCCTCCTCCCTGTCTGCGAGAGCAAATGACAGCGTCTGCGGAGCGATCACACACAGGCGTGTCACGGAGCACCGAGGCAGAGTGTCTCCCGCACGTCCCCGCATGGCCAGCACTCACCAGCACGCCCTCCCCCTCCTCGGGATTGGGGTACTTGACGGTGGGAAACTCGGGGTCTGGATCTTTCTGTTCCTCCACGGCGTACGGCGGGGGGAGATCGAAGGCCTTAAACGCCGACTGCACAAAAGAGTGGCCGACGCCGTGCACGGATGTGTGCACTATTTTCACCTCTGAGCTCTTGTTGATCTCCCTGTGAATGAAATAAGGCAAAACTTGCATGTTTAACAGAGATTTGTCTTTTTTTTGTCTGCATAAATGTCCCAGCCTGGCTATGGCTGTTGGACAGCATCACATGACTCCTGAGGTCAAAGGTTAGCCTATGAGGCACCTGTGATGGCAGTGTTTCTGGATGGCTTTGAAGTATTGTGTGTGGATATCCTGGTAGGGGTCTTTAAGCAAAGGGCTCTTCAGGGCCTCCTCGGTGTTCCAGGACTCTGGCCAAGGCTCCAGGTTCTCCTCGATGGCTTTGGAGATCCCCTTGTCATGAGGAGATACAATCTGGGCTCCGTTTTCCCAGTACACCTGGAACAGAGAACAATTGTGTTTTTACCACGTGATGCAAAATGACGGCCTGGGCTGGAAATACCAGCGATAAGAGCTGAATGAGTGTTACCTTGTAGCCATTGTCCTGTTTTGGGTTGTGCGAGGCGGTCACCATTATTCCAGCGCACAAGCCTAAGTGGGAAACTGTGAAAGGCTGCAGGGACATTGAAAATAGAAAGTAATTGTAGGTAAATTAAACTCATTAGAATATTGTACTGTTCTGTTTCTAGAATCCACAATAGTTTGCAAAAACTATGGAAATGTGATGAAAATCAGGATACACAGATTAAACGAGATCCTACTATGTCATCAAAATTATTCAAATGAGTAAGAATATTGTGGTTAATCAAAAATATACTTTCTTTTAAGTCAAATGTCTATACAATTTGTAAGCACTGTTTAGTCATTCAAAAACTGTGTGTTCATATCTAATTTATAAATAAGAAGTTTGTTATTCACCATGACAAAAGAAAACAACAACTAATATTCAATGGAAAACACACAAATTCCAGTGGTTACCACAAAAGGTGTTGGGGTTATGTCAGAAAAGAGGTGGACTGGCACGCCCCGGCTGCTGAAAACTGCTGCAGCCAGGCGGGCAAACCGCTTGCTGCTGCCGCCGCTGGGAGGGTGGGAGCGGGCGTCGTACCCGATCACAACGCCTCGCTCTTTGAGATTCTCAAAGCTCTGCTCCAGGTAGCGACAGAAACCCTGTTAGAAAGGAGACGAGGGCAAACGCAAAGAGCAGGGAAATCAAACAAAGAGGAGGTTAGAGTAGCAACGATCATATTTAACAAAACTATTTATTCAATTCAAAATGAAAGTGAACACAGCATTTCATGTCGCAATGTCAGTGAACGCAGCACGGTTTGTCCCCTCCCCCCGTTTCCAGTTTCCATCTGCCCATGCTGCTGTGACAGTATGTCCGACTAATTCAGTCATTTTGCTGTCTCGCGGGCTCATTCTTGCGTGGAAATCAGGAGCTGTGAATGTATTATCAGTGACATGAAACTAAAGGCGGGACGGCTGAGAGATACGCTCGGTAATATCAATATGCAAATTAGCCAGGTGCTGAGCTGTCTCAAGGCTGCACGTGGGCCACTCGTTCATGTGACTCCACGCTTAATGTGCAGCGAGGGTTTATCTATTAACCAACCTGTGTGGTCTGGATGATAGTGAGGTCATTCATGCAGGATGTGCCGGGGCCCATAGCAGCTCTTAGTCCTGCTGTACCAAACTCCATCCTGGAAGAGAAGCACTTCCTAAGAGCCTCCACTGCTCCCTCCTTGAGGAGATCCTGCACCATTGAAGCTGTTTTGGGGTTCTGAGGAGCAAAAATAAGTCACAATTTTGAGGAAGAAAGTTCCAAACAGATCAAGGACATTATTTATAACTGGAACTTAGACCTGTGTCACTTGCCATAACATTAAGATTACAGGACATACATATATATATACACACACACACACACTTATATAATCTCTCTGGTAACCAAGTGACCAAGTGTGTGATTTTAAACAGAGTTATTATGGAATAGATCTTGTCTACATGTCCCATGGACCAGTCAAATTCCACCTCCATTTTCTGTGATCTAATTACCAAAAATACTGACAACCATTCACACTTGACCAAGTGAATTTGCTTTTTTTACCTCAAAAATGGTCTTTCTGACCGTAACTACCATGAAACAATCCATGTAGTCACGCACTTCCTGTTCAGCACCGTGTGTGAGAAACCCTGGTTAGAAGCCACCACACTGAGACTGATGAATCCCTACTCCAATGTGACCTAATTGGTGGCATCCCATTTCTGTTTAAAGCCAAGAACAACTCTGCTTGCTTCGGTCAGATGTTCAAATCCATCTTAGTCTGATTTGAGTGAGTGTGCATCGTGTGACCAAACCTTTTCTGTGTGTGTGTGTGTGTGTGTGTGTGGTTGTGCTGCAGAGTCAGCTGATGAGTGTGAATGAAAAGAAAAGAAAAGAAAAAAAAACAGGCTTCTTGGTCCATGATTTATTATGAAAACTGCTTTGATATCTTATTTGTAATTGCTGATTACAAATAAGATATGAAACTGATAACTGCATTATATGACCAATAAAATATATTGGAGGAAAGATTTGGCGGGAATATGTGAAAGACTATGAAGATGAAAGGCGTTCTTTGTTGATCTCTGCTCCGATTTGAGTTTTTTTTAATGCTTGAATAATTAAATCGGTCTTTTCTTGATCTTTTTTGGGCATGATTGCAAATTAATTGCCGGAGTTTAAAAAAAATCCCTTACAAGCTAAAGAAAAAACCTTATTCAGAGTTCATCTGAACCCTGGTATCATGTATTTAGACGGTTGAAAAAATAGAAGAAGCAATACAAATATATACACTGCTGTGTGATAAAGCAATGAGTTTTAAATAAGCATCTTTGGAATAAGTCAGGTTTTTACCAATGATGCACATCTGCGATGACTTTAAAACAGCTCTTTAAATGAGTCAAAGAGGCAGTTGAAGCAAGGCAGCTAATACACCCTCCAGCACTAAAACAAGTGATTACTTTATAATGAATTAACATTTTTGTACCTGTAACAAGCCAGAATGACCACCGTTACTTATTAGCTACTGGTTGCATCACAGATCGGTTTCAAAATTATTTTAAATACTGAAACAACCATTCAATGAAAACCGTCCACTCTGACCGTAAAGATACACGGTATTGAAACCCTTTTTAATGTAAATGCTTGGAATTTAAAGTAATATCCGTTTAAATCAGCCCGACTTTCTAGCTTTATCCGTGTATCCAGCGGCTTTAGCTAAGCGGCTAGCTGTCACTTTACCTTGTCATACTGCAGCCACTGCCGGACTGCCTGGTCCAGCTTAGCGTCACCGGTCACACCGTTTTCCATAATTCTTACTGGGTCAATTCCAGGCTGTGTCCCGCTCTCCCTATGTAGTCATACGAGGCGCCTGGTGACTTCCCGGAGCCTTTTTCTACCAAAATTCAGCTGTGAGATGAAGACACCTGACTTTACTAGCTACTCCGTTGACGAGGGGCGGTGACAACGTGTTGCGTCACGGCCAGTACGCCTGTGGGGCGTTCAAGGGCCGCTGGGAAAGTTGCAATTTTGGACGATGGGACATTCGATCCCATGAACAATGGTTTATAATTTGTCAATTTGATACACTATTCGAATTGACAAAGAGGACTCGAGTTTGATATTTTAACACTTTCGTTTCAAGGTAAGACTGCACATCCTGATTGGCATCACGTGTGTAATTTACATGTTTTTCCTCAGAACGCTGAGTTGGGAAAGTGTCCCAGGAACTATTTTTTTAACCAGTCTATCACTGACCTGTTGCTAGTTTTTTTCCCAACAAGCTCCCTCTTCTCTTTCTTTTCCAGGGTTTCATTGACCCTCTACCAATTGTTCGGAACAGCTTCCGTCATAAATAAAACTGCTGATATTGATACACATTTTCAACAATCTTTGCTAATAAAGAATTGATCTCTGAGAATTTTATTTACATTTTTAAAAAGGGCTGATCTTATTTGAATTAGGCTTGCATTACACAGAATTATATCCTGCAGAGGTAGGATCAAATAACCCACAATTAATCCGGAGGATCTTAAGAAAAGCAGCTCCTTGATCCAAACAGCAAAGACACAAGTTTGACTTCTTTCGGACAGTTTGGCCCGCTGTTATTTATTTAACTGTTTCCATATCTTTCTTGTGAGGGTTTCAGTTTGTCATGAACAAACAGCGTTTAAGTACAACATAATATAAAGCACAAATTGTTTCAAAATTAGATGTTTAAAATATCAAGGATGTCAGTGATGGGTGAAATCTCTCCCAAATCCAGCAAGTGTTCGTTAATAGATCCACTTACAGAGTCTAATCAATACTTAGATCGATTACATGGCAAAGAGTTACAGAAACACTCAATTTCTTTGGATCCGAGGGAAAGATATCCATTTCCTTTTTTTATAATTCATAATTTTATGCTTTTAAGCAGAAACACTTTCAGTATTTCTGCTTTACCATTTAGGCTAAAATAGCTTACTGTACGTTGCAATGTCTGTACCTCTCTGGAATAAAGGTATTAAAAAATACACAAATAACTCTTGTGTGAGCAACTTCATAAAAGCTAAATGGTTCCCAGTTTTTTTTTTATGACACACACCCTATACTGAACATACTTCATCGCATTTTGAAAGTCTTACAATTAATCAATAGATTGACAACAACTTTACCTTTTTAATTGACAACTTCAGTTTTAACAGTAACCTCTAATATTTGAGCAATTTGATTCAGAACAGCTGCAAACCTCAAAGATGTCTCTGACTCCAACTCCTAATACCAGTAAAAGAACAGGGGCTATGAGCTGGTGTGAAAAAAAATTAACATAGGGGACTCTAACGCTAACTAATCTTGCTCGTAGTTTTCCAACTGACCCGTCAAAATGTCTGTAAGGTCCCCTTACTGTCCTCCAGAGCCTCTGCTGTACAACCTGAGTGAGCAAATGTCCTTAAATATGACTGAGTGATGTTATCTGCGGCGTTTCCTTTGCTTAATCGTGAAAAGGTCCTCATCGTCTGGATACATCTGTTCTCCGAGCTGCTTGTCGGCACGATTTTTCCATTTCCTCTTCTTCTCGACCTTTGGCTGTTTCGGTGTCGGCCTCGGCTTCTTCCCAGTCCTGAATAACTGCTCTGGTCTGGTGTCTCTCTGTCTGTCTGGCATAGATAAAGGAGGACCCTTCATTTTCTTCCTATTCCTCCCTTTCCCCTTTCTCCTCTCTGCGTTTTCCTCTGGTCCTCCCCCTCTGGGCAAGTCATCTGATTCATCTAAAACTAGTTTAGCTTTTGGGAGTGGCCCCCTTGAGGTGGGCACGGGCCTTTTAGGTTTCCACGCTTTGACGTGGCCACCACTTTCCCGCTCTTTGAGTTTCTTCGTTTTAGGCGTTGAGTCCATGAACTTGTCATGGAAAAAGATATGGCTGGGATTGGATTTGGGGTTCTTAGGCGTTCGCTGGTGTCCGTCGTTAGGCTGGTGGTTGTTTTTGTGATGACTGACTTTTTGTTTCTTCTTCAGTGGACCTGGGGTGAGAGGGGTCTGAGAGGGACCTGACAAATAGCCGTTTTCCCTCATTCCTATTGGGAAAAAAAAGAAACACCTCATGATGACTTTTGTTTTGATATGTTTTTGCTCATGGAAAACACCACAAAAAAGTATGTATGAAGGAAACACAATAACACACCACTTGTAAATTTCCTGTTAGCTAATACATGAATTAACATAACTTTTATATAAACGATAAGTTCACTGTCACTCCCACTCATCCAAAATTTTCATACATAGTTACTTTTGTTTATCCAGACTTAATATTCTGGATAAAACTGATAAAAACATTGGCAGGATGGTTCTGGTCCTTGTTTTGTTGGAAGCAAAACTGCTGACCAAAATTACATATTTCCTCAACTGCAAAACCTTCATGTGTCCTCCATTGCCAATCACCACAATGGGGGGTGAACCAAAAATCCCCAAAACGCATTCCCACTGATCACTCATAAAGATCCAGAGAGAATGGTTTCATCAAAATGTGCCACAAACCATGAAAACTAAAAATAAACCCATTCGGTTCAACGCCTCACAGCTGACTGTCTCTTGTTCGTGTCAATTCCACCCAGAAGGAACTTTCTGGTAACATATGAATTCACTTTAAATGATATTTTGGCACTGGTACAAAAAAAAAAGGGGAAATTAATTTCAAAGATAGGAATTAAAGCCAGTGAAGCAAAGTTTCCCATTTATTTTACTGAATGCAACAGTTCTTTTTTCACAGAGAACCCCCCCCCCCCCCGGAAATTTTAAAAAAAGCAGCCCCTCTGTGAAATTTCCTTTATGTATTTACTATTTGTATGTGGGACTTGCCTTTAGCCTTTAGCTTAGTCCTGTGCAGGCGGCATTTAATGTCCTCCATGTTGTCGTAGTGGCAGATGAATGGGATGCTGGGATAAACTCCTTTGAACATCCTCTGCCGCATGCACTCCTGAGTAAAACACACAAAGATGCAGAAAAATGACCAACAATAACAAGCAATGACATAAACTCACATTGGGACATTTTTTGGTGGGGGAAAAAAACAAACAAAAAAACCCCAAAACAAATCAAATGATTTTTTAAAAATTATCTATACTAAATACTTTAAGAAGCACTGCTCCTCCTTATGAGCTTGGTCTGGACTGTGCTCTTAAAAGAATTTGAGGAAATTACACAACTAGAGGATGAAAAAATGTGGGACTAAAAAAAGCTATCCATAGCAGATAAATGGTGGATAAAGGGAGGGGAGTGAAGCAGGGAGGAAAGGCTGACATGTGCCACATGACCCAAGAACCAACAACCGTTAACAATTACAACAAGTCGTTATCAGACATGAATCCTCGCCCAGCCTGGAGACTTTTGAGGCACTACGGGATGATTCTGACCAAGAATGGGAAAATATAAATAAAAGGCCCAACATCCAAACACGGGCTTTTGGATGTCCTTTAAGAATACAGAAGAACTGTTCATGAGGACTATTCAAAGAAATGAGGGAAAGACTGTCTGAGAGGATTCGGGCTGGGTCGCAGAATGAAGATGCTCACGTCAAACACTGACTTTCAAGCCAATTACCTTTTTAAAACTTTTATTACGTTTTTTTATTTATTTCCAAGTATGCTTAGATCTACCATTTTTTGGGGAAAACTTTCTTTTTCAAACACAGATTGTTTCCTAGTGGTAGTTGTATATCAAGTAGGTGTTTGCTTTCTTTGTTACTCTGCTTTCACATTTGGCTGAACATGCTGCTGTAATCAAATGAATGTGCGGTACTCACATGACCGAAGTGGCCCTTCTGGGAGCAGTTGTAGCAGTAGGCAGGGTATCGACCATTGTCTGTCCCAGTCTTCTTAACGGGAGGACCATTTTTAGTCTGAGGAGAGATGGAAAATTAAAAAGAGCTGGTTATTAGTGAGCTGATATGACCTATATGAATTCAAAATCGGATTTGTCTCCTGGTGTCCCTGTGCTCTGCCACCATTCCGACGCCCTCCATTGTTGTGGGCCGCGGTGAATATGGCTGCTGATATAAAGCGGTGATTACCGAGGTATAGTTAGAGCCTGTAATGACCCTGTATGATAAGTAACTGTGAGCGTGTGTGTGTGTGTGTGTGTGTGTGTGTGTGTGTGTGTGTGTGTTGGACACAGGGTCCCTTCCCCTATGGGCCAGTGTTCTGAAAGCCTTCCATGGTTCAGCGCCCACAGCAAATACACACTGATAAAGAGGGAGAAAGGAGACACAGGCAGAGTGCATTTACTGCTAATGTTATATACACAGACACACAACTCTAATGTCATTCCCTGCAACACGCGCGCACAACTCTGCGCGCACCTCGACACCAACGTCTAAGGTGCCTCTCTCCTTTCTCTCCCCACGCCGATTCTGAGATTACAAATGATTTGGGCCCGGCGTCATTTCTTAAACATAGCTTAGCTTACCTCCCCCTTCCCACCTGCCTCCCCCTCCTCTGTACACACCCCTGCAAACCAGCATCTACCCCTCACACTTGTTTTATTTCCCCCCCCCCCTTTTCTCTCTCTCTCCCTCTCTCTCTTTTCCGCTTGAGTAGTTTTGCGGTAGAAGGGATGAATGCTATTAGAGCGTCGCGTCATTATCGGGTCAGGCCTGCCGGGCCAATCTCCATCACAAAGGCCAGGAGATCACAGACCTCTCACAGGCGCGCACACACACTCGCACACACACACAAATACACATGCGCAAACTCGCACAATCCCACACGTACACGCGTGCACCCCTAAGGAGATCACAGTTCCCGTCTCAAGCCCCCCGACCTCCACCCTTCCTGCCCTTCTTCCCATTCATCTCTCATGTAAATTGGCTGTAGGTCTCCCTCCGTCTCTTCCTCCCTGACCTTGGGCTTGTGTTATCTCCACATAGTCTGATCCACTGCACCGAATGAATCCAAGCACGGGAGAAGGGGGAAGAAGAAGGAGGAGAAGAAAAAA